GTTTGCTGATGTCCAATGGCCAAAGCAAGTGACATGGCCAAGCCCAGTCTCAATGGGTAGGGGTGACATAAGAGTGAGGAAACAGGGAGGCACAATTCGCTGAGGCCTAACACTGTTACAGGTGAGCCACAACCTGTCATCAGCACAGTTCCTTGTTGAAATGTTGCTAGCACTGATGTCCCTTTCACCTAAAAGCTGGATCAAATTGTATAAGTATGAATTACAAAGAAGGTGTAAGATAGCAATATAGAAAACAACGGCCTCTGCTGTGTGAAGAGGGTTGCCAGCCATGGATGCTAGCAGTAGTGTAATCATATAAATCCAAAGAAATGGTGGTAATTCTTCATCTCCATCAAGAATGTCCTGATTATTGGATATTTAGTGATATCAAGAAATTGTTTTAAGTGGAGTGATGGTTTGTTATGTTTCTTAGAAACCCTTATGTTTTAGGGATATATACTGAAATATTTACAGAAGGTGTGATTTGAGATTTACCTCAAAAAAATCTGGCTGTGGGGTTAGGTTCAGGGAACAGGGTATAAATGAGACGGGACTGGCCATGAATTGATAAACGCAGAACCGTGTAGGTGATGAACACATCCCAGTCTCTACTCTTCTCCATACTTTGTGTATGTTTGAGAATTTCCATAATAAAAAGTTAAAAAGACTTCAAAAATTATAAATAGAACTATCATATGATCCAGCAATCCCACTTTTGGGTATTTAGCCAAAAGCATTGAAATAAGGATCCAAGAGAGATTGGCACTCCCGTGTTCATTGCAGCACTAGTCACAATAGCCAAGATGTGGAAACAACCTAAATGTCCATCAAGGGATAAATGACTAAAGGCAGTGTGATATATACATGCAATGGGATGTTATTCCTTTGCCTTGAAAAAGAAGGAAAACCCATCATTTGGAACAGCATGGATGAACCTGGAGGACATTTGCTAAGTGAAATAGGCCAATCATGGAAGGACAAATACTGCGTGATTCCACTTATGTGAGGTATCTGAAATAATCAAACTTGTAGAAGTAGAGAGTGAATAGAATGGTGGTTGCCGGGCCGGCCCGGTGGCGCACTGCTATAGTGCGCCGCTTGGGAGTGTGGTGGCGCTCCCGCCGAGGGTTCGGATCCCACATACAGACCGGTTCCTGCTCACTGGCTGAGCGAGGTGCGGGCGCAACACCGAGGGTTGCGATCCGTTGCCGGTCCCGTTCCGGTACGGGCGCGACACTGAGGGTTGCGATCCGTTGCTGGACACGAAAAAAAAAAAAAAAAAAAAAATGAATGGTGGTTGACAGGGGCTGGGGCGGGGTGGGGGGAGAGAAATGGAGAATTGCTGATCAACAAATTAAAGTTTTAGTAATGCAAGATGAATAAGTTCTAGATATGTGCTGTGCAATGTCATTCCTACAGTTAACAGTATTGAATTATACACTTAAAATCTGATAAGAGGACAGATCTCGTGCTTAGTGTTCTTACCTCAGTAAAATAAAAAGAAAAAAAATTTTTTAAATTAAATAGTGGTAAGATCATTCCGTGCCTTCAAAGACTGGTAGAAGTTGTAACAGATGTCACCTTAAGGTGCTCCTAAGTGCTTTCTCAGTTAAGGGGATTGTACAAGCAATTGATGCTGAATTCTGGATCCTACTTGCTCCTCACCTGGGTTTTAGTTTACAGTTTCTACATTTAATTAAAAGAGTTAGAAGGTATTTGATGAGGGGTCCAGCAAAGGAGTCACTCCATCATTTGGGAGATATTAGATTAGACTAGCTCTGTCACGACAGGCTTGATCTCACTTTCTGTTCCTGTGGAGGAGACTCATTGCGCTGTAGTTAATTAGGTATGACACTGGCCACAGATTCTGAATAAGCCTCGCATTGAGAACTGTTTTCTGGGCCGGCCCGGTGGCGCACTGGAGAGTGCGCCGCTGGGGAGCGCGGCGGTGCTCCCGCCGAGGGTTCGGATCCCATGTGGAGACTGGTTCCCGCTCACTGGCTGAGCGAGGTGCGGGCGCAACACCGAGGGTTGCAATCCCGTTGCCGGTCCCCGGTACGGGCGCGACACCGAGGGTTGCGATCCCGTTACCGGTCAGTAAAAAAGACAAAAAAAGGAAAAAAAAAAAGAAAAGAACTGTTTTCTCCAGGAGTTTTTGAGCTCTTAGTGTTCTTGACTCTAAGCTGTAGTGTTCCCTCGATAATGAAGAATTTGGAAATGCCACCATAGCCCTGTATGTACAAGTGAAATCTCTCTTCCTGTCACCTGTGACACTGCACTGGTGACTCTAGAATTCTTATTGTGAAAATGAAACATGACTGAACACCAGCCCCAAATTTCATGTTGTCTCTGACCTCCAAATCTGAGGCTGTTTGGATCTGCTGGGATTCTGTGGTCCATTCACTCTTTCCATGCACTCTTCTTATTTTCAGGAGATAGGTATTTTGTCAAGGATTTGAACTTTAGAAAGCCCTAGTTGAATTCCATTTTATGATGTTGCCTTGATAATTTTTCCAGACTTTTCTTTTAAACTTTCTGATTGTCTCCATATTCCTTGACAAAGGGCAGTTAAAGTGGATTTCACTTCACGCACACTCTGTATGCCTCTCTCAAAGGAACTGTGAGCGGAACATTATTTGAACCTTGAATCTCTGAGGTTAGACAAGGAATTAGAAATATCTGAACTCTACTTTAGCCTCTAATCTTATCATCCAAATGTGTGCTTAATAAGAAGCAGAATCAACACTTCAGGTCAAAATAAGTTCAAATGGTGTAGAATTTTTATATCAGAAATGAAGAAAAATAATTGGCTAGAAATATTTTTAAATGCTGTCCTTTTGTTAGGTCTGTGATCATTCTCAAACTTCCCCCACAAAATGCCATTTAAAGTTTTAAAGTTGAAATGACAAATGTGATTAACCAAATACATAATTTCTTTGGTTCTTACAGTATGGGGAAGAAGAGGACTCCTAGGAAACAGAATTTACAATGAGATCTTGTAAAGACAGAGCTTTAGGTGAACTTTTATCAATTCTTGCATCAAATCTCCCAAAATTACGTTTGAGTAGTAAACTCTAGAACGTACAATAGTCAAAAGACCATTAAATTGTCTTTGTATATCTGAGAGTTTGTTATAAAATGTATCTGGCATGTAGATAGAAGAGTTTTCACTAAATCCATCTTGTCCAAAAGCTAGAGCTGGAGGAAATGGGGGGTAGGGCAGATAAAGTGTAGATGTTCCTGCTAAATAGTCCATGTGTCTCAGGTGCTGACGTGGCCCTGCGAACTGAGCTGAGAGTGGTCACCCTGGCCCTGGCTCAGCCACGCTCACCTTCGTCAGATGAAGACCAGAGTGAGGACTTTGGACATAAGGAAATTGGTTTGCAATAGACAGGTTTTCTGTACAGAGGCAGTGTTAAAGCCTTGTGGTATGATTAGCTAACTGAGTCTTTATGTGACTTCATCCTCTCACGTGACAGGACTAGGTTGTGAAATGTGAGCGAGAGCACCCACAAGTCTATAGAACTTGCACTTGGGACGATGCGACTCCACAGGTGCCAGGTCAGAGAGACTTCTGGACTTGCTTGAGCTGGCTCATCTGGGCTGAGGTGGCCTCACCCACCAGTTCTGTGTGATGGAGGAATTTAGGGGCCTCCTAAGCCACTTCATCTGGGAGCATGGGTAGGAGAGGGGCAGTCCTATTTATTGAGTACCAGCCCAGAGAAGGCCCTATCCTGGGTGCTTTACCCAAGCTATCTTTACACAAGTGATTCTTATCACAAACCTGTGCGTGCAATACCGTCATCCTCATTTGATGAGCTAAAGAGAAGGTGAGTAATTTGCAACAGGTGACACCTGGCTCATTAGTGGCACAGCCAGCTTGCACACAAAGGTCTGGTCAACACCAAAACTTGTGCTCTTTTTACTGTCCAGTCTAGAGAATGTAATCATAAAAAATGAAAGCGGCTGGAGATATGAGTACAGCCCAGGGCCAGGGAGAGTGAATGTGGAGAAGGAGCAGGGTCACTGAAGGTGAGTTATGCAAAAGGACAGGCCATCTTAATGTGCAGTGAGAAAGCTGAGGAGCAGGATCCAGGACAGTGAGATGAGGAGATGGACAAGCTGGGACTCTGCAGTGGCACCAACTAGGCATAGGAACAAAATATCCCTTGGGAAAAGGCAGGGCTGTAAGGGTAGGTGCCAGCTAGCTCAGTTTCCCTGTGGGAGCCCAAGTGGCAAAGTGTAAGCCCGTCCTTTTTCTGCACAAATATGCATCACTTTTAAAAGGAAAGTTTAAACAAAAATCTTTATTCCAGGAGCCTGTTTCTGTTATATGTCTTTGTGACTGGCATGTGCAGCTGTCTTGTGTAAGCACAGGTCGCACCCCTCCCGAGACCAGGTGCTGAGGGCAGCTTGCTAACTGCAGCAGCTGTCAGCCAGGAGTTGAAAGTAAGTGGTCCACACTGCTGCAGGAGGCCTCTCAGAAAGACTTGTGGGTGAGGCCAGTGTCTCCTCACCTGGATCTGTGACTGTCACCTCTTCTATGCTCCTCTGAGCACCTTCTTTGGGAAAGGAAGCTCAGGAATGATCAGCCACCACTAGGCTTCAGCAGGGCCTCGCCTCCTGGACCAGATGAGAAAGAGGGTGGGCAAGGGGAGAGGACAGCCTGGGGGATGGAAACACTGGGTTCCACGGTAAGTTAGATCCATCTCATTACATAACAGAGTATTTCTCAGACTTACCCTTGGGATTGGTTGTTCTTTCCGTATCTGTTTGATTGGAGGAAAGCACAGTGGCGCAAGCACCTTTCAGACTGCAGACTGCTTCACTTCCAAATGCAGGTGGTTGCGAAGACCTTGTAGTGAAGCCAAGGCTCATGGTTTGGGAATAGGCAGTGTTAAATCCCCACCAGGGTGAGCCTGAAATGTAAGGTCACACCCAAGACGTATGAAAGGATGTGTCAAGTCTGACCTGGCTCTGGGCATGCTCTGCTTTTCCAGGTGGTGCTCAGGCATGAGGATGGTGACGAGACGGTGGAGCTGCCCCCCAGTGGGTGCCGGGACCGCAGGAGGGCCAGCGTGTGTTCCGGTGGCGGTGGCGGGGCCGAGCACCGTGGCCTTGATTGCAGGAGGAGCCGCAGGCACTCTGTACAGAGCATCAGGAGTCCCCTGTCGGCTCCCACCAGTCCCAGCTCCCAGTCAGCACCTGGCCTCCAGCCCAGTCAAGTGCCGGATGTCCGTGAGAAGTAAGCATTTCCCTGGCTGTGGTGAGGGCGTGAGGACACCACCGAAAGAGAGAGGGAGGCCACAGCCTCCAGAGGCCCCCCACTGTCGCCTGCCCACTGGTTGGTTAGGCCCCCCGGCTTTGCTCCCTGCCTTTCCTCTACCATTAAACCACCACCTGAAATTCCAAGGAACTTCCCATACACGGTGGCCCAGTGTTGTGCACAGACTTGGTTGTACTAACCCCATGAACTCTTCTTCTGTTTTTGTTTTTAATATTATTTAATATCTCAGTTAATGTCTGCTCAGGAAAGCTGTGTTTTATCAAATGGAAAGGAATCCAAAACACAAAACTTTGGACTAGAAATAAATGATATGCCACCCTAGAAATGTGAGATTGTAAAAGTCTTGCATTACTTGTGGCAGTATGGGAGTATCTCAGGGTTGCTTTTAGTTAAATAGAACAAACCTGTATGAGTTTTAATATATCTTATCTCTTTATCTCAATCTCAGTAAATACTAATTCTATCATTTAGTCATTCAGCAAACATTTTTATTGACTGTCTGTCATAGGCCAGGATTATTCAAAGCCATGAAGATATAGAAGTAGAAAAGGTATGATCTTCATTCTTATGAACCTCACGTCTGGGCTGGGAGAAAGAAGGAATGAGAAAGGTAGATAGGAAGAAACAGAAAGACTGGCAGTTCCGTGACAAATTATATATATTTGAAGTATAAAATCTGACAAAGTATATGGGAACCCAGAGTGGTTCTGTAAAACAGAGGTGCAACAGAAGGGTGGCCATGCTGCTGCAGGGTGAGGGCCGAGTTGTATCTTCCCAAGTGGATACTGTCGGTTCACTGGGATAATGGGCTTTGTGGACCAGTCCCCACTGCGCAGGTCCCAGGGGGGCTGACTGATACATTCACGTCCTGCTGCCCGCAGGGTGGAAACAGTGCTCAGATCAATTGGCTGGAGCATTCTTCCCTATCAAGGAGATCCTCAGGGAGCCAAATTTGAGTCACCAGGCTGCATGGTAGAGAAAAAGATAACTCAGAATATCAAGGGGTGCCCTAGGCAGTCTGGTACTCTTGGAACCACTTGATCGTGAACCAGGCCTTGCCTTTGGGTGCCTGCTATCCCAGGAGAAGGGCATCGGCCTCAGAGGGATGTGCCACCTCGGTCCCTGTTGATGCCTTTTTTCTTCCATGTAGCCCCAGGAGCCTCCGTCTGCAGGGTTTTCTGTTTCTGAGAACCTGTGTACAAGAAGCTCTGTTTTAGTGAAAGGAAGACCAAGACTTCTAAACAGATGGAGGAATGAGAACATTTACCTGAGCCTTGCACTTTGTGATCTAGGATCTTGAAGAAATTCAGTTAGTGCTCAAAAAAGGGGCCCTGCTCCCCGCTTATTGAGAAATTAACATGGAGGGAGTGGAGGAAAATGTACACAATGGGCTAAAAACAATCTATATTTAAAAGCACCAAAGACCCTGACGGTAGGACATGAACCTTGTCAGCAGTACTTGGTGTTCTCTTGTTCCGTCTGACTTGTGTTGTGTTGGTTCCTGGTCTGTTTCTTGCTGTTACGTTTTTCAAAGGTCCCTATGTTGTGGGTTCAGGTGACAACACCTTGTGGTAGGTTGGCGAGGATGACAACAGAGGCTCAGACCATTCTGGGCACAATTGCCAGTTTCAAAGTGCTGGGCTGGGTGGGATCGGAAACAAGAGGCTGGCGACACTGCTCTGAATGCCACTTATTTCATTCTTTGCAAATAGGCCTAATTTTTCATTGGACTGAAATTACCGTTTTAATGTAAATTTAGTAGCATTTGAGAAAAATATGCTTTCCAGTTTATAAAGATAGGTAACGTCTTACAGATTGATGATTATGAAGTGACTTCATCTGTGAGGCCTGTTGGAAGGATTTTGCCCTGTGGCCCCAAAGTGACAGTACAGTTTTGGCAGTGGCAGGAGTGAGATGGAGGGATGGGCTGGTGAGAAGCAACATAGGAAATGATCCCTGCCCGCACAGCTTAGTCACCTGTACTTGACATCTGTACCTCACAACTGCACCTTAGACTCAGGAAGCTTGTGCGTTCTGTCCCCTGCAGACCTTGAAAGACACACAAGCATTCCTGACACAGGTTGCTCTTCCTTTGTGTGGACACCCTGGCTGGACTTACTGCCAGCTTGTGGCAGCGTGCCTGCAGACACCGCGGATGAGAGACTTTAGGCTGGATTTTATAACTCTGACCCAAGTGATGCCAACACTTAGAAAAAGAAGATAGAAATATGTTGGAGGTTAGAAAGAAATTCACGTTCTAAAATGTATATGGCACTCTCCACTCAGATGGCCCTTTTACATCATTTGAGTTTAATTCTCATAATGATTCGCTGTAGGATGCAGGCAGGACAAGCGTCATTATCCTCATTGTACAAGTGAGAAAACAGATGCGGTAGGTGCCTTGTGCTCAATCGCAGGACTAGGGGCTGAGTGTGGGATAAGCCCTTGACTTGGGCCCTTTACTATCAGTGCCCAATGCATATAAAACCACTTCCCAACCAGTCACTCCTAAACATATTCATTGAACGAGGTTCTCAGTTCTGACTTTTTAGAGAGTAAACTTGATTGATATACCATGTAGGTTTATTTTTGTTGAGGTAAATGTAAAAATTCCAAAAATTAAAAAGAACAATCTGAGTCTCCCTACAGCCCTGCTAGGCTATGTGCTTTAATTCTAACAAGAACTAATAAGTCTCTGAACTCAGATCATTTGGCTTTGATTCCTTAAGAAATAGAACTCCACACTGAGCATTTGTCAAATAAGTTTATTGGTCATCTGTCACCTAAAAGCATCTTTACGTGACTGTATGTGCCATAATGAGTTTTATCTTTGCACTTAAAATTTATAAATTTAATTGAAGAATAATTTTGGTGCTTTCACTTAATACCTAGAAAATTATCTTTGACATCTATTTAGCAAAAAACCAGTGTCTCTGGTTTAAATTGTAATAGTATATAATCCGTTTTAGGACTAAATAGTTCTTAAGGCTTGTCTAGGGCTGGCTGGTTAGCTCAGCTGGTTAGAGCGCTGCCTTGTAACACCAAGGTCAAGGGTTCAGATTCCCCTACTTGCCAGCTGCCAAAAACCAAACCAAAACAAAAAAAGTTTGTCTAGACCAAAGAAGGGGCCCTTCCTGTCAGATTTCTAAGAAACAGGGTGCACTTCCAAGCTTGCGTTCTCTTTTTCCTGAGGTGCCCCATTCTATCCTTGAACTATTCTGCTTGTTAGGAAAATCTCTGATCTAAATTTGCCTCCCCCAGATGTTTCCCTGTTCATCCTGGTTCTTCCTCTGTCAACACACAACAGATCTCCTTCTCGCTCTGTGTATCAGACTTTCTGATATTAATTACTGCATGGGACTTAACACGTGGACTTTTAATTTCATCCTGTTGATTTCCACACAAAATTCCAACCAGTAGAGGTAATTCTGACTTTCATTCAGTCATTAATATTACCAGTTGTGCCATCCAGCTTTCAGTCATGTGTATATTTTGACTTATATGGAAGACTGACCTGGCGGGTAGTAAATGTTGACAGCAGGTCGGGGAGTGGAAGCTACAGGCTAGTGCCACGTGCCTCAGTGGCAGGGGTTGGCAAGCCTTCTCTGTCAAGGGCCAGGTGGTACATTTGTTAAGGCTTGTGGGCCAGATGGTCTCTGTTGCAACTACTCCACTGAACTCTGCCTTCATAGCACACGAGCAGCCACCAACAACAGGTAAGTGAACGAGCGTGGCTGCGTTCCCATGAAACTTTATTTATGGACACTGAGATTTCCATTTTACATGTCATGATATATTATTCTTTTGATTTTTTTCAGCCATTAAATATGAAAACCATTCTTAGCTCACAGGCCATAGAAAACAGGTGGTGGGCCAGATTGGGCCCACGGGCTTTGCTTTGCCAACCGCTGTTCTAAGGGGCTGGGTTTCCTGAGGGGAATTGGGGGGGAGATCTGGAATTGGCAAAGAGGAGTATGTGGGATATGAGAGAAAAACCTACCATGCCATGTGAGAAGGCTGTAGGGAGCAGTGTTCTTGGGGTTAGAGCAAGGTAGTAATAGGAATACTGTGAGGAGATGGAGACTATAATGGATCTTGCTGATGACTGATGGTACATTCCCAGGTGCAGTGGAAGATTGACGGGATTGGAGAAGGGCAGAAACATGTCAGATTGGGGGACACACAGCCAGCTGGGGAGAAGGGGGTCTGGTGATGAGTCCAGGGAAGGTTGGACTGCTTGGGGAGGTTAAGGCAGACAGGAATTAGTCCCAGTGGTCTCTTAAAACAATAACTCTCAACCAGGGGTGATTTTATGTCTGCCCCCCCACTGCCCCCCACTGCCCTGGCAACATTAGGACACATTTTTGGTTGTTATTATTGGAGTAGGCAATGCTACTGGCATCTTGTGGGTAGAGTCCAGGAATGCTGTTCTGTAATGAACAGGATAGCCCCTCTTTCCCCAACAAACAAAGAATTATCTGTTTTAAAATGTCAATAGTGCTGAGTCTGAGAAACCCTGCCTTAAGGGAAGGCAGGTAATTGGTTATAATTTTCACTTCCTCCTTGGGATTATGCCTCGGTAGGGAGTGTTTTGGCTATTGGAAAGGGTAGCTTTCTTAGAAGCTCATGGAACTCTGTGGACCTACCTTAAATGTTCATGTGTATAGGCCAAAATTAACTTTTTTTCAGAGAATGTAATCAGCTAAAACACAGGTCTATAGGAGATATTTCTAGTTAAAAAAGATTCCATTGGTATTTTACAAACAAATGCCATGAAGACATAGAATGTCCTCAACTCTGGGTTACTCCGGGTTACCACCTATATTATAATAGAGCCCTTTTCTGGTTTTTGTTTGAACTCCATTTAGCATCATTTTACACTTTACTTTCTCAGGGAATATACCGACTCCTCTTAGGAAACCAAAGGCTTGACAATCTCATGCTTCTCTCAGTAACCA